CTCTAGGAAACACAAAAATTGAACACAAGTAAGCTCTTCATTCTCATAAAAATGTGTGTATTTGGGGAATTTCAACGTGTTATCCAGAACCTGTACATGCAACCAACTGTGTTTCTCAGTGCAATCTCGGCCTGGTGAAGCTCTCACAGACCCTCTCCACCACCTGCGCTGTCTCTGGATTCCCCATCATAAATAGTGCTTCCTGCTGGATCCATCAGCCCCCCGTGGGAGGACTGGAGTGGATCAGGTGCATAGGTTGTGAAGGGAGCACGCATTACCCCCCTCTCCTCAAGAGTCCAGTCACCAACCCCAGATCCATATCCATAAATTAGTTCTTCCAACAGCTGAGCTACATGAGCAGCAAGCACATAGCCGTGCAGTTTTAAGACAAGACACAGTGAGGGAACAACTGTGTGAGCTCACACACAAACCTCCCTGTAGGGGTGCATAGGACAGCCGGGCTTGCTCAGGACCCCAGAGTCCCTCAGGAAACCAGGGGGCACTCAAGACCATTGTAGAGGCACTCAGGTCACCAGGGGCTCTCAGGAACCATCGAAGAAAAACAGGACACCAGAGGGTGCTCTGTACAGCAGGATGACTGTGGTCCTGGAGTAGTGAGCCTTAAGTCATCAGCAGTCGTGCACCAAAAAATAGTGTGACAACTTATTCTACATAGTAAGAATAAAAATAATGAATAAGAAAGAAGATAAGGGTTCAGTATGGGTGGACAACACCCAGGTCTACAGAAATGAGATGACTTTAAAAATATAAGCAAAGAATAATGAGAAAAAGAAGGAGGGGATGGGGAATTAGACAGAGTCCTGGTCTAATGTCTTGGGTAGAAGTTTCTCACAATCAAGGACTATCAGCTTATTCTGCAGGGCTTAGGTCAGCCATCTGCTTAAAAACATCAGAAATGCCAGAGGATCTATGAGGGTGCTCAGTTTAACATCTATTTGAGTAGCTTTACAGCTGTGTAAAATTCTTAATTGATTCTTTTTTGTTTGTTTTTAGGGACAGGCTCTCATTCTGTTGCACAAAGTATGGTTGTGTGATCATAGCTCACTGTAAATTTGAGCTCCTGACTCACATAACTTTTCCATCTTAGCTTCCTGAGTATCTCCAAGTAGATGGGCACGCCACCCCAACCCTCCTTATTTTTTAAACGTTTTTTCATAGAAAGAGCATCTCTTTATGCTGCCCAGGCTGGCTGCGATTGCCAGGTCTCGTGGGGGTTCCCTCACGTTGCTTCTGAAAGTGGTGTGATTATAGGGATGATCCACTGCATCTGGCCTGCATTGAGTCTTTAGTTGTAAAATATGAACCCAATAATTAACTGCCTGAATGTTTTCTGAAGTGAATTAAAGTATCTGATAAGACTCCTTCTGATATGACTCAAGAGCAGTATTTTCTGCTGATGTTCCTTCTAATTCCCTTGCTGAAGATCACAGGGGATTCTGAACAAAACGTAGTAAAAAGGCCGCCTTAAACTCTTCATTATTAGAGTGGCTATCACACAGGAATCACGTTCCGTATTTTGTAACACGTGCATGCAATAGAACAAACATGGTCTCGGGGAGGGGGGGTAGAGTCTATAAATGGATGGGCCTTTTAGCTGCCAAGTCATAGGGTAATAACTGATGCACCTTGAGGAGTGGACCATGATTCCACAGTACTAGTGGGAGAACCCTGGGCCAAGAAAGTTTTACATTTTATACAAATTGATAATTTTTACATAGAGATGCCATTTTTTAAACATTCCCAGAAGTTTGTGAGTGGGATTGACTGTCTTGTATGAACAATGACAATGCCCTCCTTGATTAGATAATATTGTAAACTAGGCCGAGCTAGCGTGTTTGCTGTATTGAATCACTGTATATTTTTTAGCTCCATGTTAGCTTTTTGTTTGCCTGTTAGCGTTTGCTTGAACATGAAATTTATCAGCTTGAAATTCTCTCAGCCCCGAAGAAGGGGCTAGATTTTCTTTTATACTTTGGATTAGAGAGGGGAGGGGGGATTCTAGCTGTAGTAATCTTACAGAAGTAAAACAGATAAAAAGTTAAAAAGACAAATGGTTACAGGAAAACAAACAATTCTGGGTGCAGGGGCTTTCAATTCATCACAAGGTGACAGGTGTGGGGGCTCTGAGGGACACAAACACAGGGGCTTTATGGTGCTATCTCCCTAGCGAGTTCCTGGGAACTGTGGACATTGCTTGCCACAGTACCTGATCAGTGAATGGGACTCTGATGTGCTGAGAGTCAGCTTACACAAGTTAACTCCTTGAGGAAGGGGGTGGGTAAGGAGTCCTTGATGTCTTGCAAATGAAGGAGCCAAATGGAGTCTGTCAGGTTTTCACAGCTAAGGGAGAGTCTATTCATATTAAAACAAGGTTAGGTAGCTGAGGGAGAGTCTATTCATGTTAAAACAAGGTTAGGTATTACAACTACTTTATCAGAGACAAAGACAACTTTAACAATTTTCACTGCAGGCATGTCTAGGCAAGCCCCCTGTGCACAATGACCTTGGTGCGTTGGAGATTCTATGGGGACCCTCTCCTGGCTGCCTAGGAGAATACTGTGCCTCCTACCTCCATCATTTTCCTCTTTGAAGAAGGACGTCTAACTGTCCTTAGAATACAGCCAAAGACCAATCTTAACTGCTTCCAGCTGATGGGGGATGCTGTTTGGGGAAGATCTCTCTTGGAGGCCTATCTAAGTGACCCCAGGAAAAGGGAGCCATTATCCCAGGCTTCAGTTGCATGACCATTTGGAATTTGATGGTTTGAAAATGAGAAGAGACAAATCGGGTTATTAGAAGACATGTATTGGAACCAAACAAGTTGGTAAAGAGTTTGAAAAACAATTCCAAAGCTGCTGACACGCCCAGATAACTGGTGACTGTAGTTATGCCTGCGAAATGTGGGTGCATGGGGCTTGGCTTTTTTGATAGCTCCCTGGGATTTATTTTCCCAAAGAAACCACCAGGTTAGGGGCATGCTATTTATTCCCATCACCTGGCACGATTTGAAGGATAATTGCTTAGAATTAAAATATTGATTCAGATTTTTTGTATTCCCCACTGCTTTTTGTTTCTTCTGGGCTGTAGCCAGAGATCACTGACTGCCCCTCAGGAATAAGCAGAGTTACTCTAAAATGCAGGCAAATGCTTAAACAACTGAGGAGATTCGAGTTTAAAGACAAGTGTGTGATATGTTTTTGAATTACAATGTTTCTCCTTCCAGTTTTGGTTTTTGTTAGAAGCAAATAATGATAAGACTGAGTTGTTTGCAAAATAAACTTTAGTCTTAAACTTGGCCTGTTTATTTGCATGAAGTTCAGCAGGAATATTAATAATAATTCTGTAGAAAAATTCCTCAAGCACTAGCAGCTTCAAAGTCTAACACTAAGAGCATATGCATCCTCAAGCAACTCACTGAATATTTCCAAGCCAGCCTGTTCCAATCTTAGATACCATCCAGTGATATCTGCCCCAGGTACACTAATATATGGGTCCTGGTTCTCTCTGCAGCCTCCTCTCGCCTCAGATTTCAGGTTGTGTTTATTGTTTGCTTTCTCTCTGATTTCAACTCAGATATGTTGAAGTTTTTTTTTTTTATTTGTAGTTGTCCAGGTTTGTTGTTAATGAGGTCAGAATAAGAGCATAGTTTACTCATTTTTACATTATCGTGGTTAGTAGCTGCTTTTCTCTATCAAATCCATTAACTGAGAGAACAAATCACATTTGGTTACAGGTGAATAATTAAATAGTTTGGCATATATTTATGTACTAGAATCTAATGCAGCTTGAAATCAAGGCATGCCTCACTCATATAAAAACGTGGCTAAATTCTCAAGTAATTGTGCTGAGTGAAAGAAACTAAGGAATTAAGAGTAAATTTTACATGACACATTTGTAGAAATTTTAGAAGTTGCCACTATTGTAAATTAACATGGAGAAGATTTCAGTTTTTCTGAGAATATGCTGTTAGGAGTAATGGGGATGTGAGTTGAATTTCAGAGAAATAAGAGAAAGATTTCAGGATTAATTTAATTATTCAAAACCTGGTTGAAGTGCTGAGTAAATGGTTGCAAACATAGGTCAACATTTTTCAAATCATTCACTATACATTTGAATTAATTATTTATTAATTGCACTTGAATAAAGCAATAACAAACTGATGAAATAATATTTGACTAAATGGAGCAATAAATAGATCAACATTAACACAAAGAATATGACTGAATTCTGAAAACATACACATGAAACGTGATTCACTCTACATATTTAGGTAAATTACAGAAAGTTGACTTAACAGATTGGGGAATCATGCAGACCTCACTAGGTGTGGGCCACACTGCCCTGGAGTTGTCTCATGAGAGCAGCCCCCTCTGGTGAATAGAGCACAGTCCCAGATAATAGGACTAATTTTTTTTAGATGTGTAATCTTAAACATACTGCACAACTGCTGTGTTCTCTATGTAAATTATCTTCTATAAAATATAACATTGAAACCTGCATTAAATATATAGTGTAAATATGTAAGAATAAAATAAGATTACGAGAGCTAAATGTTAATCAATCCACAATCACATAATATAAAATTACATGTTCCTGAATGATATAATTATTCCAGTCTCCCCCGGGACACTTCATCTGCAGTGAGCCCAGCCTCTCCTCAGATGTCCCACCCCAGAGCTTGCTATATAGTGGGGGACATGCAAATAGGGTCCTCCCTCTGCTGATGAAAACCAGCCCAGCCCTGACCTTGCAGCTCTGGGAAAGGAGTCCCAGCCCTGGAAGTCCGTGGTGTTCCATTCGGTGATCAGCACAGAACACAGAAAATTCACCATGAAGTTTGGGCTGAGCTGGGTTTTCCTTGTTGCTATTTTAAGAGGTGATTCATGGAGAAATAGAGAGATTGAGTGGGAGTGGACTTGAGTAAGAGAAACAGTGGCTATGGGTGGCAGTTTCTGACCTTGGTGTCTCTCTGTTTGCAGATGTCCAGTGTGAGGTGCAGCTGGTGGAGTCTGGAGGAGGCTTGGTCCAGCCTGGGGGGTCCCTGAGACTCTCATGTGCAGCCTCTGGATTCACCTTCAGTAGCTATGACATGAGCTGGGTCCGCCAGGCTCCAGGGAAGGGGCTGGAGTGGGTGGCAGTTATATGGGATGATGGAAGTCAGAAATACTACGCAGACTCTGTGAAGGACCGATTCACCATCTCCAGAGACAATTCCAAGAACATACTATATCTTCAAATGAACAACCTGAGATTGGAGGACACGGCCGTGTGTTACTGTGTGAAAAACACAGTGAGGGGAGGTCAGTGTGAGCCCAGACACAAACCTCCCTGCAGGAACGCTCAGGGGAAATCAGCGGCAGGGGGCGCTCAGGACCCACTGATCAGAGTCAACCCAGAGGCCGGTGCAGACGGAGGCTGATTTCCTGTCAGGATGTGGGACTTCATCTTCTGACAGTTCCCCAGGGAACCTCTTAAGTTTAGAAATCTCTGCCTAACAATGTCTTCTCTATGTATTTGAAAGAAATTATTTTAATATGGGGACCTATTCTCACCGGCACAAAATGCAGATTGACGCTTACAGGGATGAAAATTCTTCAACCACGGTCACCAGGATCAGAGTACTGAGTAAACTCAGGGCTTCCTAGTGAGTCTTCTCCAGTGAGACCCAGGACAGGGACCTCAGTGAGGTTCCCTGACTAGAACAGTCTTTACGGATCCTGGTCACAGACAATAGAGAGGTTGGGCCAGGGTCAGTGTCATGCAGAACCTCACAGGTTTCACGTCTGGCCCTTCTCCTGACACTGAAGTATGCAAATCAGCATCTGCACTGATCTGGTGCTTCTTTTGTCCCTAATCCATTTACTTTCTTTTGTAGTCGTTGTTCTCATTTTTCCATTTGCTTTTCCTGCTTTCTGGAAAAGGAAGATATTTTCCTTGTGGTCAAAATTCCAGGCCTCAAGCCCTTTCCCTGGCGCTCAGGTGGGTCTCAGGCTGTGGCTGCCGCAGTCACGCGGGAGAGGCTGGTGGGACTTTCTTCACTCCTTGTCACTCAGGACCCTCCACTGTGTTGCATGGAGACTCATCTGGAAATGCAAGTTGCCAGTGGGGACTGAAGGGGACAAGCTTGTTTGGTTAATGTGGGATGTGGATGTGGAGCTAATCCTGTTCTCAAAAACCTTCACACAGTAACGTTCTTTACTAGTGGTGTGAGGAAGAGGGTGTGAAAGTTGTCAGAATCAAAATGGAGCCACTTGTGTTATAATCTTTACAGGTGAAGCTGGAGAAGGTCATGAATAGAGGGTTCTCATGAACATATCCCTGATAACAAGAATGGATATTGTGGGGATATCTGCCCTGCCAGTCCCTGTCCATCTTTAAACTGATTCCACCCTTTTTATTCTTCTATCCCAGGATAATTGTCTCAAAACAGCTCGTGTAAGCCTCCTCGATTTTCTTTTAAAACACTTGTCTTCATTTGCCTGCTTAAATATGCCCATGCATATTCCCATTGCAATGCTCATTTTCAAATAAATATTATTTGATTTTGGAGAATCTCTTTCTGTCTGATATTTAGGTGTGACAAGCTGCAGAGGGACACACCACTTTCCTGTGAGATGTAGGGGAAGACAATTTTGGGGGATGGCTGAAAACATCCAATGTCCTCAGGGCCGGCCATCAGTAAGTGCAGGCTGGAAGTCGAAGAAACAGCTGAAGCTGCTTAATCACTATGGAGTTTGACCTTCTCCAGGTCTGCTCTGATGGAATCAGGGCCAAGCAGGTTAGCAATGATAATCTACCTAACACAGAGTCAACTGATTACAGTTTTAATAACCTCTATTACAAAATTCACAACACCGCCTGGATTAGTGTTTGATCAAATAACTACAAAGCATTGTCCAGCCAAGTACACCACAAGACGGACCGTCACCCATAGAGGAAAACACTTAATATGAGTTCTAGGTTCTTACATTGTTAAAGGTGTAAAACGGATTATTTTTAAATGAGGCGATTTTTATTTCTGCTATTGAGTTGTAAAAGTTTCTTTTATATTTGAACATTTAAACTTTTTCAGATACATGGCATATTATCCAATTCTGTAAGTTGTAATTATTTTGTTGCTTTGCAGAATCTTTTTTGAAATCTATTCTTCCAGTTGTTTAATTCTGCTTTTTTTGTAGGGGCTTTGAATGTAAAATCCTGAAAAAGATTGCTAATTTTTAAAGGTTGGAAGTTTTACAATTACAGGCATTACATTTAAATATTTAAAACATTTAGAGTGAATTTTTGTGTTTATTCTAACCTAAAATTCTTAATTCTTTTCATGTGAAAACCAGTTTTCATAACACCCTCTTTCAAAGACACTATAATTTAGTCATTTTTTATTGATAGTTCGCATGCTGAAAATCAGTTTGTCATCAATATGTGGGTTTATATCGAATCTCTCTTGTGTGGGTTTATATTGAATCTCTCTATATGCATTTATGCCAATACCTTTCGATATTTATAATAAATGTTGAGGCCTGGAAGTGAAATGCTCAAGCTTTATTCTCGCCTTGTTACAGACATTAGACCAAAATATTTTAACCTTTTACTATTAAGCATAATAACAGCTGTGACTTTTCTTAATGGCTTTTATTATGTACAAGTTGTTTTCTCGTCTTCCTACTTTGTTCAGAGTTTTTATAATGAAACCCCGATTTTTTCAATTTTTTTTCTGTGTCTAATGAAATGTTACTGAGATATTTTTCTTTAGTTTTTTAATGTGGTGTACCAAATTGATTGATTTGAGGATGTTGAATCAACTGTGTATCTCAAGAATAAATTTGAGCAGCTCATGGTGTATGGTCTTTTAAAAGACTTTAGAATTTAGTTTACTATCATTGGGGATTAAGTTACGTCTACTAATGATATTGGTCTGTAGTTTTCTTTTATCGTGATGCCTTTGTCTATTACTGGTAAAACTATAATGGTAGCCTGCTAGAGTTTAGAAGGTATACTGCAGACTGCCTTTAAAATACATTTCATCAGTGGAGAAATGGTGATAGTTTTTTCTTCAGTTTTCTCTTGGGAAGAATTTTATGTTTTTTAAAAGATATTTAGAATGACTTAACCTTTCCTATGGGCTTACATTATATTCCTTTCTTTCATTCTTTTTGAAGAACCGCTTACTTTTCCTATTTAATTTTAGGTTTATTTTTATATTTGTGCAATATATTTTGAGGTGAAACTTGGTGGATTTTTTTCTAATAAGTTAGAAAAAATAAATCATTTAATTGACTATTTTATTCAGGTTGATTTGTTGAATATTTGCAAAAGGCCAGTTCTTTAAGCCATGACACGTAACAAAACCCAAATGGCAGTACCTCATTGTTTACTTAGCTTTTGTACGTATATTTTTCAGAGGAAAAATCACTACTGTAAATTGTAAATAGCTAACACATAATTGTATTGTATGCATATCTGTGACTGTTTGCAGTGTTATCTCCGAGAAACAGATAAATAAAGTTTCTTTAGATATATAAAAAAAAGAATTTGGAAGGTTGACTCCTCACAATTTTTGAAGGAGTTAGAGAAGGGCTGGCATTACTTCTTTAAATGTTAAGTCTCACTTTTTGATGTAATATACAACATATCACAGAGAATGTTCAATGTGTGCCTGAGAAGGATGTGAATTATGTGGCTCTTGGTTGGAAGATTCTATATATGTCTTTCAGGTAAAATTGTTCAATAGTGTGTTCAAGTTCAGAGGCATGTTAAGAATTTTCTTTCTGGATTTGCTATACATTATGGTCATGAGGTATTAAGGTCTTCTCTTTTTTTTATTGTTTTCTATTTCTCTATATCTCTTACAGTTTCCTTAATGCAGTTATATTTGTAGTTGTACACATGTGTAAAAACTAAAATCATAGTTGCTAAATGAGTTTTATGGCACAGTCAATTTATAAGTAATATTTTTCCAAATGCTACCATTGCCACTAAACAATGGCAGTCTGCCATCTGCTCTGGGCACTGCCTTCTTGTCAGGCGTCCCACACCGGAGCTTACTATAGAGGAGGACGCATGAAAACAGGACTCTCCCTCTCCTGGTGAAAACAATTCCTGACCTGCAGCTCTGGGAGAAGAGCCGCAGCCCTGGGATTCCCAGGGGTTTCCAATTGGTAATCAGGACTGAACACAGAGGACTCTATGGGGATTGAGCTAAGCTGAATTTTTCTTGTTGCTATTTTAAAAGGTGACTCATAGAGAAATAGAGTGAGTGAGAATGAGTGGATATGAGTGAGAGAAACAGTGAATATGTTTGGCAGTTTCTGACCAGGATGTGTGCATATTTTCAGGTTTTCAGTGTGAGGTGCAGCTGATTCAGTCCATAGAGGACCTGAGACAACCTGGGAAGTTCCTGAGTCTCTCCTGTGTAGCCTCCAGATTTGCCTTCAGTAGCTACTGAATGAGCTGGGTTCACAAGACTCCAGGGAAGGGGCTGGAGGGAGTAATAGATATAAATATGATGGAAGTCGGATATACCATGCAGACTCTGTGAAGGGCAGATTCTCGATCTCCAAAGACAATGCTAAGAACTCGCTGTATCTGAAAATGAACAGTTGGAGAGCTGAGGACATGGCCCTCTATGGCTGTACATAAGGTCCCAAGTGAGGACGCATCAGTGTGAGTCCAGACACAAAATTTCCCGCAAAAGAAGGAGTCTGGGCTGAAGGGGACAATCAGCACTCACAAACCAGGAGCAGCCCCAGGGCAGGTGCAGATGGAGGGAGGGCAAGGGCTGCTTTCCTTCGGGGTCTGCAGTTTCCTCTGCTTCTAACATTTCTCCTCTGAGCCCCTGTACCCTTTGTGCCCACCGTGAGTCCCTGGATTAGAAAACTAATTTTCTAATTAGTTTTCTAATAGTTATATGTTCCAAAAACAGAGGTAAATATTGGAGGCAGAAAAATGCACAGGCAGCCAGGTGAGGCTGTAGACACTGTCACCCCACAATGCCAGACTCACAACTAGTGCTGGAGAATGGTAGGAGTTTGATGGAGCTTCCCTAACAACCCTGCGGTCCAAGATAAATCCAGCAAGGCCACTGGTGCCTCCCTGAGCACAGTTGTCCATCAGGGATCTCCCACGTGTCCCAGCAGCAGCCATGCCTTAGTGCCTCCACCAAGCACCATCACTGCCTTGGAGGAGCTCCCAGGATGGGTGACTTCGGCACACACCAGGTGACGGGTGTTAGAGTGCAGTCCAGCAGCTGGCGGCCTGGGCTATTGGGCTCCCTGATGTTGGAGGGATTGGAGGTGCATTCTCAGGGCCAGCACGCTGCGGATTTTTATACAAAAAACATGATTTTACTTCGTTTTCTCAGATAACATAGATAATTAATAACACAGTCCGCAAACAATTGTAATTTTCAACTTTACCTCA